TAGAAAAAGCCTAAGTTTGGGTTAGAATATGGATGGACAAGGCAGAAAAGGTTAGGGCCAAAGAGAGGTAAAAGACAACAAAAATGAAATAAAAGAGATGGGGAATTAAAGGAAAGGTCCTTTTTAAACAGAAAAGGCAGCAGTTGCCTAAACATCTGCCATAAAATAATAATGATGTGCTACATTATTAGCCTACACACTCAGCTTGCTACCTCCTCCTAGTCATACTCCTTCATGTTCACGGGAAAACAATAACAACAGGATTGCACCATTTTGGTGGACCCAGGGGACACCCAAGTCTCTGGGGCTACCTTCAAAGATGATCCAAAGACCCATGGTTGTCGAGAGGCATTTTATAATGGTCTATCAGCTAACACTGAGTGATTACTAGGTACTAGCAATGCTAAGCACATTACATGTATTCTCTCACTGATTCTCACAACAAACCTATGAGCTAAAGGTTATTAATGTCTTTATTTTAGGAACTTAGAAATAATCAATCTAAGAAATGATTAAACATTTCTATGCATAGAGTCTATCCTTGGCAAAATTATGAGCAGATGAGGGCGGAGAGGGAAGGAAAATACTGTTTTCTTAACACCTATAATATGCCAGACACCTCACCTCATTCACTGCTAACTAAATCTTACAAGGTAACTACAGAGTACAAAGTGATTGAAACATGAATTTGAAATATATTTTGAACCTGTCCTGGACAGTCTGAACCAAAAGCCCAGGGTCTTACCTCCAGAGGATTCTGAACAATTGGGACATTTAAGGGTCCTCTAGGGGTCAGTGTGAGGATAGACCCAGCCTCCTAGAGGAAGTCACTTTCACTTCCAAGCTAGCCCAGCCTCTATGGACTGGATGATATTGGTGTTAAAGGGACCGGGGGGGACGCTGAGACTGGACAGCTTATTTCAGTAAACTTCACCATTGGCAAATGCCCTTCATCCAAAAGCAATAAACACTTCACATGCCAGGCTTTGTGTCAGACAGTAGAATTACAAAAATGAAATCCGTTGTCTACACACAAGGAGTTGTCTAACAGGAAGGCATATCCTGGAAAAGCATACTCTTGGGCATTAGCATAAAACATATAAGCATATGACACCCACTCAGTCACTACTGAGCACCACTAAGTGCGAAGCACTGTGTAAACTTCACCAAGCTTGTGTTTTCACGGAGCAAACCTAACCCATTTGAATATATAGTTATTTCTAGCTCCTTGGATTATCAAATTATTAGATTTGAAGATGGAGGGTTCAGCATAAGTTATATAGCTCAAGAGTGGGCAAGGAGAAGGTAGTCATCCGAAAAGCTGAACATTTTCCTACTAGTTATCCTTACATTCGCCCCTCCCAAGGTCATTTGAACTTCTGCTAACCACGTATTAGGCATCCGGTAAATTTCTGTTGAATGAATGACCATACTGCTTGAAAGGAATTACATAAACTCAAATACAGAATCAAGAAGCAATGACGGTTTTGTCACTACCATGATTTCAGAAAGTGAGACTGGCCAAGATGAACACACCGAATTAATGTATGAGAGGCAGAAGTCACAAACCATATTCCACTACCTCTCACCATCAATGAGGAAGTTTGTACAGCGCTAGGGAGAAGGCTCATTTGGAGATCCAACTTGGATGACCCAGAATGATGGGAGCAAACCTTCACCTCGGGTACTATGATAAGAGACTTACTGTCTGCCCGCTTTCTGGCAGATCATACAGCAGCTAGGGAGTGAATTCCCCCACCACATTTGTGAGTATAAGCATTAACATGGATTTCCTCATTCCACTGTAAGGAAAAAAATATAAGCCCCTCCTTTGAGTAGGAAAAAATGAGTAAGAGTCTTCCCTTTAGTTAAAATGAAACTATGAAACAAATCACTAAATAAGAATGTTTTACTGGGGTGCCTCGGTGGCTCAGTTGGTTAAGCAGCTGCCTTCGGCTCAGGTCATGATCCCAGGGGTCTGGGATGGAGCCTCACAGCAGCCTCCCTGCTCAGCGGGAGTCTGCTTCTCCCTCTGCCCCTCCCCCAGCTCGTGCTCCCTCTCCCTTTCTCTCTCTCTCTCTCTCAAATAAATAAATAAAGGCCGAGAAATTCAGTTGCAAGGCAGGAGCTGTTGGGGTGGTGCACCATCATCAATCACATTATGTGTGGCAAGTAAAAAAAAAAAAATGCTTTATATACTCTTTGTGCTGGCAAGGAAAATAAAGAATACAGAATATTTACTTCTTGGGGAGCTAAATAAAAAATACCTATACTTGCCGATTAATGAAATTGAGGCAAAAGCATCAAATATGATTAGATTTACCATTATGTTCTCCTAAGTGACACATCTCTCTTCTGTTTTCCTAGTTTTCAGTCTAAAGAGACGATTCTTGCTAAATTGTTTTACTCGTGGAGTCCATCTTAGCCCATCTAAAATGTGATCATCTATGATTCTATAGACATCGAGGTTTGTGAAACAGGTTTTATGTAATCGTGGGCAGTCATAAAACAGAGTAGGTGATGCTGATAGGACATAAACTGTACCTGCTGTTAATCTCTTCAGATGGGAATTAGTTGAAATTGAACTTGCGGTTTTGTTCTTTCCAGACTTAAACTGAATCCCTTTGTTTCAAGAACAAAAAAATTCAGGGCGCCTGGGTGGCTCAGTTGGTTAAGTGACTGCCTTCGGCTCAGGTCATGATCCTGGAGTCCCAGGATCGAGTCCCGCATCGGGCTCCCTGCTCGGCAGGGAGTCTGCTTCTCCCTCGGACCCTCCCCCCTCTCATGCTCTCTCTCTCTATCTCATTCTCTCTCTCAAATAAATAAATAAAATCTTAAAAAAAAAAGAACAAAAAAAATTGAATAAGCCAAATCAAAAGGATTTTCACTTGAAACATGATATATAGTCTTGTGCTTTTACAAAACCTTATTCCTCAGGGTTCCCGAGGTTGGTCATAAAGAATTCACATGTAGGAGAAGTTGGGGTTGCACTGCTTCTTCTGCAAATGTGGGGAGGACAGTTTTCAATTTATTTCAATCAATAATAACCCATTACCATGTATTTAGACCTTGTTATATTTTAAGCACTAGCTGCTAGCTGCTTTGCAAACATTTATTTAATCCTTACAGAAACCCCGTGAGGCAGGAAGTCTCTCAGCTTTACAGATGAGGAAGCAGGTTCAGCGTGGTTACCTGCGACATATAATGTGATTGATGATGGTGCACCACCCCAACATCTCCTGCCTTGCAACTGAATTTCGGCCTCGATAGCAAATGCCCAAATTTAATTATCAAACATTAATCAAACTCTTAGTTGTCTGTGGTAAAAAATACCGCCAACACTTGTCCCCAGATATTACAGTCGAAAACAATTTGGACGATCCTACCTAATATACAAAGGTGAAAAAATGCTTAGGTGAGGGTCACGTAAAAGCCAATGATACCCAATTATGTTCTCCCCTTTTCTTAAAAAAGCAGTAAATCACCCCAAATGCTTCGTAAGTGTTTTGTAAACTTTTGGTTAAATTTTGAATCCTGCAACAATACGAAACAGCTTAATTGCCTAACCAGTATCAGGCATAGTACGATCATGAAAGAAGAAATAGTCACCATGCAATTCAGTGACCTACCAGCTACGGCCCTTTGCAGCAGCTCTAATTGGCCCTTTCTGAATCCACATTCCTAATTTGTATCTCTACATGGTCTTCATAAAGTATATTTCGAATCCAAAAATGAGACAAGAAATTCTGAGCAATTCAGGAGTCTTGACCTTCCTACACATCTACTCCTTGCACTGGCAGGAAAAAATAGGGGGTAGGAGCACAGAAATAACTTAATACTTTACAAAGCATCATTCCCATTGGACAGACAAACAAGGAGGATCCACACACCCCGTAAGTCAGGAGGCAAAAGAAAACTGTCAAGACTGGAACTAGGGAGTCTTGGTCTCCAATGGCAAACCATCCCTACACATTGGCTCAGACTCAAGGGTTTAATCATTAGAAAAAGAACCCCGCATCTGATCTGACCAAGATTTGTGTAATGAGAAAACCGAGGGGAAAAAACTATTGGTCAAAAATTTTTAAACAATTTAAGAATTTTACCTCTTAATCTGGCTTTGGCCAAGACAATGGGATCATATCACTAAATTACCAAGATGGCTGAACAGAAGACATACAAGCATTAGAATGGCCAATCTCTAGATTGAAAGCCTCTATCCCATTTCTACTCTATGGTACAATTCTTCTTGGAGAGCCGACACCTCATAGCCCATTTCCTACAGTCTTATAGGAAATCTTTATGAGTCTGTCAAGAATAATCATCCTGAAAGAAAGAACTTTATATGCTATCCCATACAGCAGTCACCAGTCACGTGTGGCTATTGAGTGCTTGGCAAGTGGTTAAAGCAACTGAGGAACCAGATTTTAAATTTCATTTCATCTCAATATAAATTTACTTAAATAGCTACATGTGGCTAGTGTCTATTGTATTAGACAATATAGTTCTAAACACTACAAAAGTTAATTTTCAGCAAATAAAAATGCATTTCAAAAAGTGAGTCTTTTCTTTCTTAGGAGCCACCAAAACAGCCAGGAAATCACATTATTTATTCAAAAAGAATCTTTCTCTGGATAAATCCCTGAGGCCAGTAATGAATTACTGCCACCCAATCAGGCAAGAGGAAATAGGGAAATCCAATGGCTAGCTCAGCTTCAAGCCCTCAGATGTCCTTATTCCCAGGATTTCTCCTTATGTTTGCCTTTGAAGCTATTCCAATCTTACCTTAATCAAAAAAACATTTCTTCTCCATCATTGGCAGCCTCTCTCACTGGGCAGATGTAATGAGCTGGGGATCGGGGCCTTCCCATTCTCTAACCTGGGAGGTTGACTTCTTCCAGACATTATGGCAAACACATCAAAAAAACTTTGTAGCAACACCTTCATTGTGATGGCCCAGTAAGAAAAGGAAAATAAATAAATAAATAAATAAATAAATAAATAAATAAATAAATAAATAAACAAATAAACAGGCTTTGGGATTCAAGAAGAAGATGGATTTGGGACCGAAAAAGAAGAGATGAGGGCCATTTCCCCCGGACAGTTTTCCCAAGTCCACCCATGAGGAAAATCTTCAACTTCGGGAGACTCAAAAGACTTTTCTGTGTGAATTTTCCGATGCTGATTGAGATAGGCACTTCTGCTGAAGCATTTCTCACAGTCCGTGCATTTGAAAGGTTTTTCTCCCATATGAGTCCGCCGGTGCCTGATAAGATTAAAGCTCTGACTAAAGCACTCGCCGCAGTCAGGACACTTATAAGGTCTCTCTCCTGTGTGCGTCCTTTGGTGAATCACCAGGGTGGAACTCTGGCTGAAAGTTTTCCAACACTCCGAACACCGGTAAGGTTTTTCTCCTGTGTGTGTTCTCTGATGTCTAATGAGATGGGAGCTGAGACCAAAACGCTTTCCGCATTCACATTTGTATGGTTTCTCCCCTGGCTGGAGTCTGCATTCTTCTATCACACTGCAGTTCTGACTCAAGCTTTCCTCATATTCGGAACTTTCATAGGGCTTTTCTCCTGTGTGGGTTTTCCGGTGCGTAATTAGGTTTGAACTTCGACTGAAACTCTTCCCGCATTCTGTACACTGATAGGGTTTCTCTCCCGTATGAATTCTCTGATGCTTTATTAGGGTCGAATTACAACCAAAGCTTTTTCCACACTCAAGACATTTGTAGGGCTTCTCACCTGTGTGGGTCCGCTGGTGGCGAATCAGGCTAGAACTTTGACTAAAACTCTTTCCACAGTCAGGGCACTTATAAGGTTTTTCTCCAGTGTGAATCCTCTGATGTTCTATTAGGACGTAACTGTGGCTGAAGCATTTCCCACAAATAGGACATTCATATGGTTTTTCACCGGTATGTGATCTGTGGTGCTGAATCAGGTGGGAGCTGCTACTAAAGCTCTTCCCACACTCAGGACATTTATAGGGTTTCTCTCCCGTGTGAGTCCTCTCATGGATAATGAGATGGGAGGTATTGCTGAAGCTTTTCCCACATTCACCACACTGGTAGGGCTTCTCTCCTGTGTGTGTTCTCAGATGTTGAATCAGGTGAGAGCTGTTACTGAAGCATTTCCCACACTCAGAACATTTATAAGGTTTTTCTCCTGAGTGGGTCCTCTGGTGAATACGCAAATGAGAACTGTTATTGAAGCTTTTCCAACATTCAGAACATTTGTAGGGTTTGTCTCTGAAGATCGAATTCTGCTGGACAGAGGCACTGCAGTGCTCCCCTGGGTCCCAACTCTGGTGACTGGGTTTTTCATCTTTTCCTGTAGAATTTCCCTGATTCTCTGACTTGCCATCATTCTCACAGGAATCATTACACCAGATCTCATCTCCTTGGGACCATGTCAATGGAATTTCTTTTGTACCCTCATGCTTACATTTTGGGGGGCCATCTCTTTTAGACCATTTTGAGGCTCTCTCTTTCTCTGCCTTGGAATTATTGTGTTGAACAGTTTCCAAATTATTCTTACTTTCATCTCCTGTAAGAATAAACAAATATTCTAAACATATTCCCTAATCTCTACCAGGGGAAGGAAAGTCTGAATTGCAGGGGAAGGGAGAGAATAACAAAGTAAAACCTCATAAATTCTTTTAAAGTGTTTAAAGCAGGTTTTAGTTTTTCTACTCTAAGTGTTCATGAGAAGCAGATGAATTTTTTTGTTCGTAGTAACAACACTAATGAGGTATTTGAACAGCCGTCAGCAATTACCAAGGGGGGGGCTTACTGATCTAAAAACTTCATTAAACTTTATTCTAGAAGACTTAAAAGAAAAAAGGCGATCTGAGTAGGGGAGAAACTGAGTAAGACACATTCTAAGGTGAAAACTTGATGATACTTTGGTTAAAATCTGAGAAAATACAGAAATAATGATACCTACTACTTATAAAGAACAATAGCTTGGCATATAGTATCTCGTTAATCCTAAAAAATATGAGACAGATACTCATTTTTCCTAAAGATGAGAAAACTGAGGTTGTAAAAGTTAACATAGCTTGTAAGCAACAAAGCAACAGAGCAGGAATCAAATTAGTTTGTCCCATTCAAACGCCCTGTTCTTTCTACACAGTCTATAGCACTCCATGGCACATCTTACATTGAATTTCCAATCGATCCAGATCATCTTCTTGATCCCTCACCTGTAAAAGGGCTTTTCAAACTCTCCCTCTCCTTGAAGCCACTAGAATCTGAGACCAACAGTTTTTGCTCTTGCTCCATCAGTGGTCACAGCCAGGGTAGGGATCAGAAACCCTGTGGAAGGAAACAGGTTATGCTTGCAGGCATCAGCTAAAATGTATTATTTTTCCTTCCTTCCTAACCATTGCAACAAAACAACTGTAGGCACAGAATGTTCTGCACACCAGACTGAAAAAAAGAAATATGGTCTTTAGAAGTCTTTTTGGAAAAAAAAAAAAAATCTTATCTTAGATGCAAGTGTTTTGAATTAAGGTTAACCCAATTTACTTTTTCTAAGGAAATGCCAATAAAAAAATTAAGTCTTCACATTAAAATCTGAGGATCAAGCTTCAAAAACAGAATGAATACTAGTACTCATTGTCCACTCAGAGTTTAAAAACACTTTTAATTGAAAACATGAAGGTTTTTTTGGAAAAGGCAACAATAACAAGACTTCAAAAAATGGATATGCAGGTATAAGAAGCAGCTAAAGAGAAAGCACCCTGTTCAGAAAGAATATGCTGGCCCTTGAGAGAAGGATGAAACTTTCGAAGTTCAAGTTCAAAATAAAGTTAGAATTTATATAATCAGGAAAAAAGAAAAAGAAAAAAATAGGACAAAGCAGGGCTAGAATAATTATAGCCAATAACCCCTAAAGATAAAAAGGAAGCTAATGAGGGGATACTTCCTTGCCTCTTACTTTCTCAATCTATCATAATCACAATATTCCTTTTAGCCTAAACTATATCTTCTGGAGTCAACTATGATTCTTGACCTACTTTAAGGGACTGATCACTGGAAGGCAGGTATATATGGATTTGCAATCCATTTCAGGATATAAAGAACATTATTCGGGAAAAACAAGAGCCTAAAATAAGGATGCACTAAGGCACACATGGAAAACTGCTTTTGGAGGAGTATAAAAAAGGTTTAGTGATTTTCACCTTATACTGCCTATTACGTGCCAGGAAGTGAGCTAAATACTTTATACATATTTCTCATTTAATTTTCACGATAGCCCTTGGAGATCTAGAAATAATTACCAGCATGTTATTATAGATGAACAAAAAAGACAGTAAGAAACTTTCCCCGGGTCACAAAACCAGAAAGCTGTAGAGCAGAATTCATTCCCAAGCCCGTTTGGATACTGACTTTCACACTCTTATCTATTACAGTAACCCAGAGCAGGAGGCAGAGCTGGGCATAACACCAAACTGCAAATGAATCTCAAAGAGGACCTTTATTTTGTAAAATATTAGCTGGATTTAAAAAAAAAATTTTATATCTATAGATGGGATACCAAACGAAGCTGGCATTCCCGAAGCACCCTCAGCAACTAGGGATTTGTTACAGATAAAGGTGAAACTAGTCTAAATTACAAACAGCCCTAACGTTTGAGTGCGGGGGGGGGGGGGAACCCACACACCTAAAAGGGTCAAAAGGGAAAACTGTTCATATGGAGTAATATGTTTTGCTGAGTTATCTATTTCCATCAAGGTCTTTACAAACGAAGTAAAAGTCCGGGTAACAGAGACCCGTGCAGCACTTTCCCTGCTAAGAAACTATTAATTTTGATGGTAGGGGGTCTCAGGAACACTGGCTCAGCAAAACGGTAGCAACCTCAGGCCATAAATGGGATTACAAGGCTGTCCCTTAGATGTCACTCCAGAGATGGGCTGTTTTCGCTGTCCTAGAGCAGAGGTGCTTAGGATGGGGCCGTGCTTTGGATTAGAAAGTCTTCCAAAGAAAAGGCACTGCCTGAAGCTTAGCCTTAAGAACCGTTGGCAGGGGGCAGAGGCCGGGTGCGCTGCGGGGTGAAGTTCCAGGAGGCCAGATCGTCTCCAGCCGACAAGTCCTTTAAGAGACCCACCAGGCGAGGGAGGGGAGGGCAGCGCGATGGTCGGGGCGGCGGGAGACCCTGGGCCTCGGCCCCTCGCAGCCGCGGGATCCCTCTCCGGGCACACACGGCAGCCTGGGTGGTGCAGTGGCCACTCCTCCAGCCCGTAGCCCTTGGCTCCCTTCCCCCCGAGAAGGAACTCACTGTTCCGGGGGCCACACACGAGGCGCCCAGCACCCCCGCAGACCCAGCTGTCCCGGAGCAAGGAGCCCCCAGCTCCTTCCGACCCCACCAACCCAAAGTCCTAAACTCTCCAGCCCGGAAGGCAGAAACAGGAAGTCACCCTAGCCCCCCTGCAGGTTTTGCCGGAGCCTCTCTAGGAAGCAGGGATGGCCAGGTCTCGTTGGTCTTAACCCTTAGGGTCCCGGACCAGAAGGGGCGTGCTGGTGGATTTCCTTCCCTCGCGCTGTCTGTGGTCTGTCCACTTGATTCTCACTCCTCACACTTGTCAGGCGCCTTATAATAGGGGCCCGACTGGAGCGAATACTTTCCCTTGCCATCAAGGCATCCTCGGCTTTATCATCATCAGTACAAGAAAAAGGAACCGAGCATTTACTAAGCTCCTGTTGTTTCCGTTGCCACCGCTGTGAACAGGGATGTATATTTAGCTATCTCTGAAACAGTTGAACAGCTGAGGCATCCACCCACGCACAAAACAATTCGTTAACAAGGCGCCGTTATTAATAAGACCCGGAGAAGCACTGAAACTCTGGTCTTTCGTTACAGAGAAAATGGAAGGCAATCCCTTCGTCTCCCCCATATCAAGCCTACAAATCTACTTATGTCTCTCTCTTCCCTCCTGTTACAACGGAGGATTGGTCCACATTTAAAAGGAGCCCATTACTGGTACTCACTTTCCTTCCCACCTTCTTGGAATCCTTACACTAATGACTAACCTCTCAATTCTACCACTTCCGTCCCAAAATAGTTCTTTGGCTTTATTTATTATTATTTTTTCCCTCTCACAATGTTTCCATTTTATGGCTTCCCGCTGACGTTTTAACGCGTTTCTTCTTCAGCAAAAGCGGTAAATTGCTAAGATCGCGGTTGACCTCTGTGTTGGTGTATTTCAGTCCTAAGGCCTCTTTCAGGAGTTTTGAGACTGCTGAGAATTCCTCTTCTAGACACACGTTCATTTTAACAGAGCCTTGTTGATCTTTAGTTATCTTTTGCCCTAGATTATATTCTTATCATTAAAATAAATGAGGACTTTCAGAAAACAACATGAATAAGACATCAGTGTAATTTTTTAAAGATTTATTTTATTTATTTGAGAGAGAGTGCACATGAACAAGGGGTAGAGGGGCAGAGGAAGAGGGAGAGAAGCAGACTCCCCGTTGAGTAGGGAGCCCAACTTGGGGCTCATTCCCAGGAGCCTGAGATCATGACCTCAGCCAAAATCAAGAGTTCACAGGTCAACCAACTGAGCCACCCAAGCGCCCCAAGATATTGGTGTATCGTGTATAAGCTGATGATAGAAACACTCTTGTAGACACCACATTTTCCCCATTGTCCTCCGACATCTTCAGCAGTCCTGATAGTCTCTTTTGCAAGCCCAGTCTTCTCTAAATGTTGATATTCCTTAATGCCATCCCAGGACCTCTCTCTTATCCTGAAATGTCCTCTGTCTGCACAACCTCATTCACTTCCACATTTTAAAATACCACCTGTGCAGACAACTCACGGATTTTATATCTCCAGCCCAGGCTACATTTCTGAGCTCTTCACTCTTATCACCAATGGTCTACTTGACATCTCATCTTAGAGGTCTCAGTAACACCTCAAAACCAAAATGTCAAAAGTGAAAATCTGTTTCTCACTTTCTTCTCCCATATAGACATATAAACACAAACTAAATCTGTTCCTCTTCCAATATTCTCTCCCAACCATGCATTCAGTTCTGCAGAGGCCCGGAAGTCCTTTTTGTCACCTCCCTCTCCCCTCACCTCCTATATACAATCCATAAGCCTCACCTGCTGTGTACTTCACACAGAATTCTCAAATCCAGATGCCTCTCCCAACCACCTGGGCCACCCTAAGTTCAGACAACTATCACCCTCACCTGAAGGATTTCAGGAGCACACTAACAATCCTACAGATGACCATCATTGCCCCTTCTCATCCAATCTCCTCAGTGAGTCCAGAGTGATCTCTTCCATAGATAAATTTGAATCTGTCACCTTTCTTCACCTAGTCAAAGCCTATTCATCTGTTAGATTTCAGCTCATACATCACTTCCTCACAAAAGCTTTCCACACCCTTCCTGACAGGGTCAAATCCCTGTTATGTGCCCTTCTAGCACCACGTTTCTCTCCACAGAAGTAGCCTAACTTATGACTGCAACTTTATTTTTATTTGCATGATTGTTATTTTATTTTGCCTCCCCAAACAAATGTCAAGCTCCATGAAGGCAGAGTTCATCCCCGTTTTTGCTCACCACTCTATTTTAGAACCTAGCACAGTGTCTGACTCTAACAAATATTTGTTGAGAACCTCTTATGTGGCCGTTACTGTATATTCTTAGGAACTGAGGATGTAACAGTACACAAAATAGTGTAGGGGAGACCATCAGTGAGCAACACAACCACATCTATTTATCTATATATCTGTATTTCTGTCTCTCTCTCTCTCTCATGCTGAGGAAGGTCTACTATTTTGGTTAAGATGGTGATAAATGTTCTCTCAGATAAGGAGATATTTCAGTGGAAATCTGAAGGAAGAGAAAGTAAGAACCATCCAGTTATCTAAGGGAGGAACAATTAAGACAGAGGAACAATAAGGGAAAAGACCTTGAGATTCTTGACATGTTCAAGAAACAGTAAGTGGTAAAATGAATGAGATGAACAATGGTAGGAAATAGGGCAGAGAAGTCAGGCCCCATAGTCCATGACTGATGGACACAGACCTGTGTCATTCAGATTCCCTTTTAAGAAAAGACTTGTTGGGGTGCCTAGGTGGCTCAGTCAGTTAAGCGTCAGACTCTTGATTTCAGCTCAGGTCATGATCTCAAGGTCATGAGATTGAGCCCAGCGTGGGGCTTGCTTAAGATTCTCTCTTTCCCTCTCCCTCTGCCTTATCTCTCTCTCCGCCCCCCCAAAATAAATAGAGAAGGCTGGTTGCCCCAACTTCTGGGAGTGCTATGAGCA